GCTATTTTTGACAATATCGCGCGAAATAAACACGGTGTATATATTTCCAGCGTTGTTAGCAAAATATTACAACGGAATTGTATCGATTTACAATTAAATGCGACATGACTCGTTAAAAATAATTACGATGGTAGAACACACGATAGATAGCGCTTTTCAGAAAAAAGTGTAGTTAGAAACATCGTTGCCTGGTTTTGTTTACGCGCAAACAAATTGATGCCAATATCCGTCGAAACATAAATATTGGCATCAGTTGAAATTAAAATGGAAAGACAGATTTTGTTAAAATTTTGCTACATTGTGATTTGAAAATAATTTTGTTGGAATGTTATCGAAATAATTGTATAGGACGCTTAAATATAATTGTATAATTTAAATCAAATAGATTTAGCAATTAGATTGAACATTCTACATAATTATTTTGTTGATAATCCAACAAAATTATTTTTTACTTTCAGTTACACTGGAAAAAATTACTAAATGTTAATACATATTTCTTTGAATAATATTAACTAAATACTTTTTTTTACTTCCTATAAGTGAATACTTATTTATTTAGAATTATTTAAATAAATAATTTTTCGAATTTTTTTTTTTATCGTTTTGTCCTGCGTAGCCGAACTTTTAAATATTTTAGGAATCGTTTTATCCGTAATATTAACAGCGACGGACAATATGATTCTTTATGTTCCGATTGCATCAGCAGCGCGTGACAAAATGCAGATTGCGATTAGATAGCAATTTCACCTTTATTTCACCTTTTATTGCGCAACGACGAGGACGAGATAGATCGATGCCCATTAAAGCCGCAGGAAACGCATCATGAACTTTCGTCGCCTGTCAACTGCTAGACAAATTAAAAAGTAGTGTGGCGATCACACGTCATCGCATCGGGACGGGTTTCCAAAAGAAAAACGAAAAAAGGAACGTGCGCCTCTGCGCAATTTCACTTCGCGCTCCGAAGGAAATAACTTTCTCAGCAGCGGAAAATAAAGTTCCGTTCTTTCTCGCCCGTCATCGTTCCATTTGCATGACGAATCCGTGCCGTGATTATGAATGTTATCGTAACCATGTGGAGACTTTTTTACGAATAAGATTTGTGTTTCTCCTTTGCTACAAAATGTTATACGACGTTATTTATATGATTCCGTTACTTTCAACATCAATTGTCATAAAATTTTAGCTAACAATAGCATTTTTTATAACGTTTGTGCGCGACAACGAGGGTAACTGTCATAATAGAATCCATTTCGTGGTATGTCTGCTGTGACCGTCGAAAGTGATTCGTTTCCACTGCGTATACCGGATAATAAAAACGCGCTAAAATCCTTCTATTCTTCATTTCTCTCTTTGGAGTCAAACGAGTCGGATAAAGCAATCAAATTTTATTTTTGTCGTTTTATCGCCAGTTTTATCTGTGCGTGAATTTCCTTTCTTCTCTTTCTTGCTCCGAGCACTAACTTACAACGTGTGTATAACAAACTGGTGCAAGTGCATCCAGATAGCTGCATCGTCGTTGCACGTTGCGGCACGATCGACCGCACGCGTGTCATTTAGAGTATCCTCCATCACCCCCTTGCGTGCTCCTATCAGCCAGGTCGTGGGTGGCTACACGAATGACGTCGTTTTATCGTGACGCCGCCGCGATCACGCACCAATTACGGTCGCGTAACCCTCAGGGGATTGCCTCTTCGAGTACCGCAGGCTTGCGTGAATAGATCCCCTTTTTTTGTAGGTTATGGAAAGACCCAGTCTGCTGACCTCGTTCGTTGCATCCGCACTCGTTTGGCTGTTATCATAATTTGTGAAACATATAGAATTAGGAGAAACGGTGAGAGGTAAAATCTCGAGAGCAACACATTTTTTTTCTGTGCGAAAGGAGTACAAATGGCAATCTTACTTTGACGGCACAGTCAGTATTTTGATTAATAAAAAATAAGCCTTCGGTAAATATTTATTGAAGGTTTATTTTTTAATGTTAGGGCTGTCATTCGTTTTCTTTTCCTCAGAAAAAAAATGATTGCTGTTATTTAACAAAAATGATATTTTATTAAAGGAACACTACACTTATTTTCCAAATATCGTATAGTCTTCTATATTTAAAGTCTATTAAAATTGATAATTGTCCGAATTTTGTTTTCAAATTGTATTTATTAGTATAATTCGAGTAATATTAACGGAAACTGCAGCTAAAAGTGGAAATTTTTTTTCTTGTACTTCAGAGAGAAATTGTCATGCTAGATTTGCAAAATTAACACGCCATATTTTTAGTATTGATTTTTTAGTGTAAAAAATGTGGAATTTTTTTAAATTTTAATAAAGAACCGTAGAACTTATGAAAAGTGCTATTGGAACTTATTTTATATTAATAAAATAGCGTGTAATTTCACAATCCAAATTTATGTAAATCTGTGAACTTAGCACAACATTCCATTAATATACAAAAATCATAATAATAAAAATGAAAAATAATAATAATACTCCAACAGCACTTTTAGTAGTTTTACATAAATAAAAAGAAAGTTATAAAAACAAAAGTGTTCCGCATTTTTTTATCCACTTTAGCGGAACGGCTTTTGGCGGTAAGTTCTACATTTTTGCAAATGATAATCTTAACTTCTAACAATAAGTCTAATTTTTAGGATTAAAATTATGATTTGTTTGCGCGTAAAATTTTTCCACATAAAGTCAATTCGCTATTGCAATCGTGTGTATTTGTTTAACTGGCGTCATCGCGGTCATCGACGATGAACTGATTCTATTTTGGTTTTCTAATCGTGTCGTTTGTGAACAAGGGACACCCGCGAGATCGGTGCAACGACGAGGTACCTTTGAACCTGGAAGCCCGCCAACTTCCTCGAGGGCAAGGACAAAGCCAGCCAATAGATTACCGCCATCCGTTACATTGCTACTAGTATACTCGTAATAACAGGTCGTGTTAGTCATTGCAGTGTCATTATGACAATTTTCATTTTCCGCCCCCTCCCTTTAATGCGTCTCGCCCACACAGAGGCTCGAAATCGATTTGCACCTCCACATGGTTATTCCAGACAGATCATCCGAGACCACAAATTAGTGGTTAGATTCTGATCGTGAGTATTTCGGAAGTATTTCCCCAAAATACAGCTTGCCACATCGGACGATACAAATCTTGCGGTTTTCTGCGTCACAGATCCAGACCACTTGGGAATTCTCTGCGGTTTGCGAGGGTGGTCGTTAGGGTTATGGCAGAGAACGAGACGTAGTCATAACGTAGAATGAAACAGAGAAAAATGTAGATGCATAGTCGTGACTGGTCGGGAAAGTGCCTCAGAAAAACGAGGTGAATGTTAATGTATGTGCATATATATTAACAGTTAATAAGTAAATACTATATATACACTGAAATAAAATTTAAAAAATTTATTTTTAAATATGTTTTTCCATCCCCTGGAATTATATTATTTTAGGTTAACTAATATTTTTCTATAAGTATCTACAATACATTGCTAACAAAAGATGTTCCTAATATATAATATATTCTTAAAATCATTATTTCTTATCCTACATTACGAGTAGTTACGTCTCGTTATGTCTCGTTCTCTGTCATAGCCGTTACGAACTTACATATTTTGCTAAGATAGTTATTGAATCGTCCGTATTTGATTTTATTTTTGACTTTAATACTGAAATATTAACTGTTTTCGCATTTGCAATATCATAGAGTAATTTTTTAAATCTCGAATACAAAACACAGATCTTTGATATCTCGCTATATATAAAAAAATATGTATATTTTTTTCATATTATTTCCAATGTCTTCTATAAAAAATGTTTTTCTAGATAATTTTTAGAAGGACCGACTACCTTTTTTTCGAATATTCAATTTAAAATTATTTAATTCAGGATAGGAAAGCCACTAAAGTGGCGCTGTAACAATATTATATTTTAAGGCGAGGAATGTAATGAAATAATGAATTATAACAAATCTTGCACAAAGAAAGATCCGTTTGAAATTAGATCCCCCATCTCTAAAAGTTAAAGTAACATTTAGACGCTTTTTTTAATATTTGATATTTTAATATTAAGCTTTCTTCGTTTCTAAAAGAGCATCGGAAACGCGCCTTCCATCCCTCGCTTGAATCTTTCATCTAAAACGTCTCATTAAAAATGCTCTTTTATCTCTCTCTAATGACTCGCGGCGGGAAACGCGTCTCTGTATCTTGACCTGCCCGCACCTAATCCGACCAGCTGATCGTTTGTCCTGGTCGCGCCGGCCACGTCGGTATTGAGGGAGTTAAGCCGAAGAGGGTAGACGAGAACGAACGAACGAACGAACAAACGTCGACGACGACGACGATGACGACGGAGTCGCGTCGCGTCTGCGCGTCCCGACGCCATCGTCGGTGGGTCGGTCGGTCGGTCGGTCGGTCGGTCGGGGGTATTGATTTTCCACGTCGTCATATGTGAGTGTGCAGTCGCGCACACGCGCTGACCAAACACATACACACGTAAGTTCACACATACATTTGCCGCAACGCCGGCACACCGCGGCGCGGCTGCCAATCCACCCGCGAAATTCCGCAAAGTCTCTTCTCGGCGCCGTCGTCGAATGGTAGCCCTCCAGGCTACTTCGCCGTCACCTCGCGGGGATCTCGTGATCTCGTTCGGGAAAGGAGACGTTCTCGCGCGAGTTCGCTGATTCATTCGTTTGTTCATACGTTACCGGTTTCGCCAAAGAAGGAAGATTCTCATAGACAGTGCTCCGACGTGACGTTGTCACTCCCACCCAGTTCCTCATCGTGTCCGAGGAGAGAGGGTGAACGTCGTTTGGGGTAGACGTGACTCCACGAGGACGGCGTTTCCGTTTCGCCAAGTCCTGGCGAACGTCACGTCCGGTATCGCGCACCGCGTTATACCCACCACGTAGGGATCCAAATTTCTCTGTGCAATCGCGTCGTCGCCCTCTCCTCGTGGAACGGACGAGGTTTGATCTCGTGTTCGTTGGTTGCGTGTTACAGGCTACGGTTAGCTCACCGCTTCGAACAACCAGCAAGCGGCGTCGCCGGTATTCTAAGGCGCCGGTAGGCGGGAAGGCAGTTTCGCCGAGAAGAAGAGGAAGACTGTCGCCCGGTATCTAGTTCCCCGTCAGGCACCAGATCACCAGCCGGCGATGCCTGCACCGACGTCAGCGGCGGGTGGGGCCGAGGGCGGCCCGCCCCGCACCGAACTGCAGGAGTTACAGCTCAAGGCCGGTCAAACTACGGATGAAGTGAGTTGAAATATATTGATATATGCATACATACATATATCTAATTTTATGCGTATATACGTTCACGCGATGTGACAGCCACGAGGATTTACGATGCGGGGATTGAAACCAACGTAGTTTCGCTGAAACTTCGAGTTTCGATTTTAATCGCGCGAGGATAAACTCTCGTGTTTATCTGCGACAAATCCTTAGTCTAAAATCCTCTTCCGCGTATATCTGCGCTCTGTCGGAAATTTATCGAATAGAAACATCTCGTAGATTTTCAACACATGCGTTTATTGAGCATACTGAATACGACTGTACTTATTTGTTTAGGATGGCTAAAAAGTGAGCAATTTATTCACGAAGCCATTATCGCATGTCAATATCATTCTTAATCCTTAAATCTTGATAACTTTTGAGAACTCTCTAATTTAAATAATAATTTATTTATTGATAACACGATGAAATCAATTTCTCGTGTGAATGCATAAACTATGTTGAAAGAAAAAAAGATTGCGATTATCATAATTAAACTATAATTTATAGACGTTTTCAGTGCTACAATTGTATATTTTTTTTTAGTAGAATTACAAATACGATTATTATTTTTAACTTTCTAGCAGTAATAACTATAAAAATTAAACTCCTAGCCATAATTATATTGCCATTTAATTAGAGTCGCAGATACTAAACATTTCTCTCAGCGTCAAAATTACTGTGTTGGAACTTAGAGAAAGAAATTATACTTCTCTTCTTGAAAAGTAATCTAGCATAGCGCGAAAATGTAGCAGAGACAAGATAAAATAACAAAGTTACAGCTGTTCTCTGAAAAAAACGTAAATTTCAAAACACATTCGCGATTCCTCCTCGAGTCACACGTGTGGTAACCGGCGTGATCGACTTTGTTTCAGTCTCTGGAGAGCACGAGGCGTATGCTGGCGCTATGCGAGGAGGTGAGTCTGTGCCTTTCGGCATTTGTTCCTTCCTTTTACTTGCGCATCGACCCCTCGATCCTCTCTCGATCGTCCTCGAGATCCCGCGTCGGTGCACTCTCCCCCTATTCTTCCGTGAATTAAATCCCGTGTAGCGGCCCTCCCGCAACCCTCTCATTTAGTCCCCCGTAATCTCTATTCTCTGCAGCCCTCGACCCCCCCTTCCCTCCCCTTCGTACCTTCTCCTGTCTCTGTCTCGTAAACTAGGAATGATTTTCATCGACGAATCGTTGCGCACTACTGCGGCAAAACGGGCGCCACTGCTCGCTTGGAGTCCCACCTCGGACTGTTTTAAAATAAAATAAAAAGAGAGAAAAAGAACAAGAAAATGGCAGCAAAGAGAAAAAGGAGTCGCGCCAGAGAGAGGTGGGCAAAGTACTATTTCGATCGTTAACCGGTCAAGTGGCGAACACCTCGATCCCGATCGATTCGATTCACGTAATTCGCGCTGTCGAGGTCTTACAGCTAACAGACCGTGAAGTAAACGTGAAGTAGTAGTATCAAGTACGAAGCGTTCGAGTACGTAGCCTTGGCCGATTATAAATTTCAACCAAGAGGACTGACTAGGCGTATATGAATGTCTTCAAATTAAATTTTTACTCCCCGACACTGTAAAGAATAGCGGTGTGCTGATACATTCGGTGTCTCTGTATAATTCTCACTGTTTGGTGTTAACATTAACACCAAGAATTTCAAAAAGGATTTGGAATCCACGTCATGTTGGTTAATTAATGTTAATAGATATGGTGGACACGTTAAATTCACACCGATATTTTTTAGAGTGAATGCTTCTAATAATCTAATTCATCCCGCGATTCTACCGAAGGACGAAGCCACATGTATCTCGTCCTACCTTCTTATTTTTGTCACATCAGTTTCGTTAATAATAGATAATTGACGTACTGACGAACGCCACTTGACTGGTTAAGCGTTTTGCTCTTAGCGGGCGCGCCGATTCCGCTTTGCACAAGATTCACGTCAGCGAGACAACCTCCTGCGGGATCTCCAAGTCGCGGGAGCAGGAGAGGAAAAGCTTCGAGGGGATCGTATATATAGAGGGAAATGGGGAGGTGACGTCGAGGACGTGGGCAGAATCGCACGTGCGATGGTTTTCGAAGTAGTATTTTATCCAGCTCTGGCAGCACACGGAGGCGACGATTCCGGCGGCGTGTTGCGGTTCGAGCGTATAAAGCAATGGGTAAAGAGGACCGTTTCGCGACGAGCGAGTGGAGTGGGTTCGCTCCTCACGAGGGAAGGGAAGGGAGGGGAAGGGGGACAACACGAACCCTACGCCTGCGATTCTTAGAATCGCGAGAAGAAAACACAAAAAAAGAATAGTAATAAAGGAAGGAGAGGAAAATCGATCGGGGGAGAACGGAACGAGCGTTTGCTCGCGCGACGAGAAATTTGTAAGACGACGCATCGACGCGCTCCGAGAGACGGCGAGGCGCCCCACGAACGTGCGCAAAAGAGGGAGACCTTTTTCTCGTCCCTCCTGTCGAATAAACTGTCGTAATTACAGGGATGGTTCAGGCTGAGTCTCTGAGAGATACATCGTAATTGTATGGTATTTCGCTAAGCTCTGGAAATATACATAGATATTGTCAGTTTTATTTATGACGACTTAGTGTAGAATGAAGATGGAAAGGGGTACCGCATAGAAATAGCCATTTATTTTAATAATTCAGATAAACGTGTACTGTTCTAACGTTGTCACATCAAATTTTGAGCATTTTTGAAAGATCGTAAAATATGAAGGGAACTGAACCATCCTATGTATATTTTTGTTCGTTTTCAATATATTTTTTATTGTTATCAGAGGTACTCCAAAACTGTCGCATTTCCCTTCAGTCACGGATTTTTTCCAAAAGGATCTCGTTTTTTATTTACAGAAAAGAATACTAGGACAGGAGAACAGAATAAAAAAGGCATTTTTTTTTTTTGTTAAACGGATTTTATTTATAAGGAACTCGCGTTATTCTCAAAATGTTTTCCTGCTTAAAAATAGAAAGCTTACAATCAAAATTTTTCCAAGAGAGATAGAATCTATTAAAAATTATGAAAGAAGCTTAATTTATCAAAGAACTTTCTTGGATGAATATCCGGTAACTTAAAAGTGCTGCATTGTACCGGATGTGCTATAAAAAGCAATCTCGAAAGAATTTCGAGTTATTTACCTAAAGAGAGGAATACTCCAACTAAATTGCTTTGGCTTTATTTTATTATTGCTTAGTATAATAATAATAATAATAATAATAAAAGAATACTGAATAATTTTCAATTAAAATATCGCGGCGATTAAAATATTTATTTTTTTTCTAATTGTACATAAAAGAATTCATGGAAGGACGGTTTATGGTCTGCGAAAGAAAGCGCAGAACATTTTCATAGAAATTCATCGAGTTGAGAGGAATGTTACGCGACAAGTGAGTTAGATTTCGTTTCTCAAGTTTCGCATCGCTGTTGCGGAAGTGACGACGTATGAGTACCTTTTCGACTCCGCTCCGCGTATCGATCTAACGCTCCAACCTTGCATATGTTTACTCGCGTGTATTTTGCAGTATTGCGTGCGTGCGTTCGCGCGTGTGCCACGACCGTGAAAAAAATAATACGATCTGTCTGCATTCTGCAGCTCTCTTTTCACGCATAATTATTCACTGTCTTATATGTCCTTCGATATCTGTTATACTATTATATATTCTCGATACATATGTGTTTGCGCGTGTGTACATCTCTATACACGAATGTACGCGTATATCTGTTTTTGTACATATTTACGTACGGAGATGTTTGCTCTTCTTCTACTATACTACTTACTATACTTAACTTACTATACTTGTCGAAGGAACGTACGCAACTGGCTTCCGTGATCTGATTCGTTCAATCGGATTATCGTTTCCGACAACGTTTAGTCTGATTTTAGCATCGTATTTATCATTATTATTAATACTAGCGGACTATTATCGGTTATTTGCTTTTCTAAATTAGAAAAAAAAACTCGGACATTTTACTTTTTAATTTAATGCACAACGTTGATCTTTTTTTACGACCCTGTATCTCACATGGAAAGAATTTTTTCTTACAATTAGAGTTAAACTATCCTGAAAATAAGACAGTCATGAGACAACATTTATATTTCAAAGAATTTTATGTGTAATTCTCTCTCATACATTAATAAAACTACGATAAAATATAAATTAAGTTTGATTACTTTTACTAAAGTGCAAAAATTTTTGAAGTATTATATTGTACACTCTAAATTGCTTGCAATGGAAACTCACTCTGTTTGGAGTGAAAATTGTCACTCTTTTTCAAGAAATGAAATATTTTTACTTTCTTGGAGTAAAATTTCACTGTAAGAAATTTAGAGCGTACCATAATTATGATATTTTCAGGATAAATTCTAAGAAAATTCTTTCCGTGCATTAACATTACAATTCGCTCGAGTGTTATTAACACAAATTTAGTATCTTTGAAGTATTTATATGATCTAAATTTAGACATTAGTTTGCAATGCCATAATATTTGGAATATCGTGTAAATGAAATTACACGATTCTACAGCAAACTTGCATAATATTAAGCAAATCGCGAACTCGCCGTAATTCTGTTCATTTTTATTCGCAACTTTTGCAAGAAATATAATGACGAGATGTGAAAGAAGGTAAAATTTCCTTCGTTTGTGAACGAAGAGGATCCGCCGAGGTCCTTGCGTCGTTCCGTTTCAGTTTCTCTCGCTGCTACTTATCTACCTGTGGCTGCACTAATAAGCACGTGTCGCATTCTTCCAAGCACCGAAGACGTCCTTCGAATCATCATCGACCAAGAGAAGCGTACGTACACACACTCACAATGCGCAATATGCGTCATCATCGTCACGTCGTGACGCGTGATAACGATCGCGTAAATAGTCGATCGTGCTCTCGATCGACCAGGAAGCGAATCGTAAACGAGCTTCTATGAGGGAATGGAGGGAAACGGTTTCGTAAAAACCTGCGGGTCTATGCATGTTTCTTCTCGACTACATGAGAGGAGATCCCCTAAAAGTCGGGCGCGAATTGCGAGAGAATTACGGTGACTGATCGCTCTTTTATCTCGTAAAGCTCGATCGTGATATTTTTTGTCACTGAACGGGAATCAACTCGCGGTACACCCGTATCTCTTTCGTAACCCCCATCAATGTAAGTTTCCTGCGCGATGGTGTGCAAGCGACGGCTTTTTTCCTCTTTATCATTAGGCTGTTCTTCTTAGCTGAACTTCTTGCACGGTTCATCTTTTCTCTTTTTCTCCCCAACGTGAAGCTCTAATAGCTCGTACTTGATACGAACGCGTTATAAGATTTTCTTGTAATGAAAATTTTCACGAGGAGATAAAAAGATTATTTTATAAAATGAAGAAAATGAGACTTTTAATAAGAAAAATTATAAGACGGAGAGATTTATCATTTTTATCTGGTTAGATATATAAATACATTTTACGTAAAAATTAAGACAAAATTACATTTAATGAAATTTCCTTGTTAATTTTAATATTTTTGTGGATATTTTTTTTACTGATAGTGTGTTTACAGCATAATTTCTTATTTATTTATAATACTTCTACAAATTGAGCGGCAAATGTATCTTATTGTGGGACAATTTTCCGGTAACTAATTTCAATTAATCCATTATTATTCGCCGACAGAGACTTCCTAATATTTATATTGCTCCCGAAACGCTCTAAAACGTGTTAATTGCCAATTAATGCTAATATGATTTTACATGTAGATAGATTACACAGAACAAATGTGTAGGGTAATAAAATATGATATAATAATAATTAATTATATCATTAAATGATAATAGATACTATAACGAGTATATAAATTATCATTACGAGATTAATATTTATTATGATTACGAAAATAGCCTCGGTGCTCTCATCAATCAATTATGCTTGCGCACCGTCAACGCAGACAGGCAT